TGTTGACTGTGAAACAGTAGACTTTAATTATATGCATTTATGGTGTAATTACTAAATTTCCGTGTCAATCCATGTTTATTTTTTTACCGCGAATAATGCGCTGTGCATGCAGCACAGCAGAAATAGACTCCGTGCGGAAACGATCGCAGCATGACTGCTGCAGACGCACCGCTCCTGGAGCGCACTACGCTTACAGTCTTATGTACACTTCCACATAGTCTGTGTCACATTCGAGAGTCTTATTGACTGGAATATTAGTAACTCAATTTTCAACAATACAACTTCAAAATAACTTCAAGTCAGATCGATTCCGAGCGTGGAAGTGTGTTAGTAAGAAGGGCAGGAAATAAAAAAAAGAATTAATCCATATAGGTTCTGCTATTGAAGTCTGAATGAACATCTCACTATTTTAAGAACCGAACCGTCTGTATGCATGCATACATGAATTAGCGAATGCTGTACTTGTGAACTCTCTGTAGAGTGTGTGAAAAGGTTAGCAGGAGGGGGGAGGAGATGTCTGTCTTCCACTGAGCATTGTTCTCTCCTCCCTCCTCTTATTATCTGTCCACCCCTTCCCTCCACTCTCGCTCAATCTCGCTCCATCTATTCTCACCTACTCCATCTTACGCACTAAGGTTAAACAGCTCTGATTGAAGCGCATTATCGTCTCCAGCACACATACACACATGCACACACATGCACGAGAGGGGCCCCTACCTTTAGGTGACACGCTGCGGGACTTCTTGCTGTCAGATGGGCACTCGCTGCTGCTGTTGGGGGAGTAGGCTCTCCTCTTGCCTAGAATGTCATCTGTGGAAAAAAAAAAGAGAGAGAAATAGGTTAGAGGGGTTCAGATGCGGTCAGACGGCCCCTAAACCCCTCGACATGCAGCTCGCCGCCTGGCTCTATACCTGCATACATGATGGAGCTGTGAGAGCGACTAAAGATACGAAGAGATGAGAGGGCCCTGCGCCAGCGTGAATGACAGATCTGGTTCTTAGTCAGCCATGTGCAGAAACGAGAGATTCTTTTGCCTGCTCTCTCTCTTTCTCCTATCTCGAACAAACACACTCTCTCTCTCTTTGCACTCACCCTCACTCTACCGTCGTTTCTTGTCTTGACTATCTATCTCTCCTGGTCTTCACACCGGCCTAATACGGAGTAAAAGCTCCAGAAATGACAAGACGAGCAAGAAAAAAATGTGAAAAAAGTAAGTGGTCTTGTCTATGTCTTCTATCAAACTCCTGTTGTCGTGCTATTACGCCTTTTTGCTTTTTTCACTTACTCTCACTCTCTGTTTTCAGTGAATATAGAGCTCACACCTTTTGCTAATCTCTTCCTTCCTTTCTTTCACTCTTTCTCTCCCTCCCCCTTTTCTCTTTATCTCTCTCTCTCTCTCTTTCTCTCTCTAGAAAAGTGGAGGCTGTCTGCACTAGCCTAATGCAGCGCTCTAGTGAGCCGCTGGTGTCTAGTGTACGATTACAGCACCCTCCTCCCCCCAAACACCTCAAATCAATATCCTGCTAATCACGCTGGGAGGGGTGCTGCTGAGAGCATGGTGGTGCATGCATGCAGGAAGGAAGAGACCGTTTGTCATTGCACTCTCCTCTCCCTCTCTCACTCTCTCTCTCTCTGCCCTCATGCGCCACATGAAGAAAAAAAGTCAAAGCCACAGGGTTATGCTCTTCCTTTTGTCTTTTGTTGCTGTCTGATTCTTAATCTAAATGGACTGCGCAATAAACTGAGAGGAAACGGATTATACATGTTGCTTGCATTTGAACTTTTATGGTATTTATTGTATTTTATTGTCTATGGATATCATAAAAAGTTATTTTTAAAACATTTATGGTGCCCTGCAGGTGCATCATTTTAAAGACCTCATAACATCATTCAACAAGCACAGAGATCTTTCTTATATTGACATCTTTCATATTTAAGGAAATTTGGGTGCAAAAAAAGGGACATATCGTTCTATTTGTTATCAAATAAACTTTCCAGTTGGTTGCAGGTATAGAGTGCTACAGTTGGGTTCAATAAGTAACAATCTCATTCATTTACACCATAATAATTTATAAACTTTTATAGGCCGATCTACATTGAGCTATGAGGTTGTTCATCAATGTTTTTGTTAAAGCTGTCAGTCTGCATTATTTCAACCTTCACCTGGTGAAAAACTACATTACCCATGATTCTACAAGAAATCGCCACCAATCTGAGAATCAAGACAAGCTAATTGTGCCAAACTCCCATTAAGCACTGCGAATGACATCAAAGTAAATCTCTCTACACTCTTAAACTACTTAAATATTTGTGCATATATATGAATATTTTGCAGTAAACATAAAATATGGTGTTTTTATATACATATAATCTACTATATTCTTTAAATAAATAGTTTTAATATTTACCTGTCATTATTAATTTGATTGTCATTCACAATGAATCATGGGATTTGCATGGGATTTAGTTATTTACCGCATTAATGCCTTTAAGTACAACGTCTTGTACCTTTGTCTTTTTGTCTGATTTTCAAAGTTTGTAATATTGTGATTCACCTTGTTGCTGGTTGGTTTGGTTCATGGCTTACTAACAAAGACTTTTTTTAAATCCCTATGGGAAAAATTAATGGCAATAAGCTCACAGCTAACACATATAAACTAGAGAGTTGCAAAACTCTCATTTTGATTTCACAAGGTCTTTAAAGGAAGCCATTACTACAGATGACCCTTATGTGTAAGCCATGAATAAAGCTCTACACATCAAAGAAGAGTGAAGGGGGAGATTCTTGCATGACACAAAACCGAGAGAGCCTGCACCTCTGTATATGTCCGACACAAAAGTACAAACTACTCTCTCACACCCCTGCCTCTCGACACCAAGAGTACTGCTCATCCCTCTCTCTGATAAGAGTGCTGGAAAGAGACACAGAGAGAGAAAGAAAAGCAAGCTTGAAAGAGCTTTTGGAGAGGCAGAGCTCAGTCTGGGATTCTTTGTGGGGAGCGAGCTTTACTAATGACGCTGTTTGATGTATTCTCATCAGGGGGGAAGGCTGTCTATCCCACTCCAAAGAGAAAAAGGGGCCTCTCTAATGGGCCCCCATCTCCTCTCCTAACCTCTGCCCAAAGACAACAACAACACTCCCTCCGTCTGTCTCTCGCTCCACTTTTTCTCCTTTCGTCGGCCTTTGAGGTGAAGAATCTCCCTTGGCGTATTCAATTATTTTCCGCTCTCTATCTTCACGTGGAACTGATACGATCACTGCATAAGTGTAAAACTATAGCAACCGGCTGCTCCTGTCTATGCATGAGCCAAAAGAGCTCAAAGGCCTGCAAGGGATGAGCAAAAACATCAGATAAGCAGGTAAAATTTTAGTTTAAAAGGTGTTAAATAATAGGAGTTAAAGGGTTAGTTCACCCAAAAATGAAAACTCTTTCATCATTTACTCACCCCCAATCCTGTATGACTGTCTTTGCTTCTGTTGAACATAAAAGAAGAACAGTATGGTCCCCATTGACTTCCACAGTATGGAATGCTATGGAAGTCAATGGGGACCATCAGCTGTTTGGTTACACACATTGTTCAAAATATCTTCTTTTATGTGCAACAGGATAAAGGATGAGTAAATGATGACAAAATGTTCATTTTTGGGTGAGCTGTCCCTTTAAAAGGAGCATGAAGGTACCTAAGATGAAAAGGGTTGGGAAACACATACCACAGCACCCTCTGGTTTCTGTAGCAGCTATGTTGAGCGGAGCCCCTCTCTCTTTCTCTCTGTACGTCTCTGTTTGACCCTAATCTCTCAGCAGTGTCTTTCCCACAGGCTCAGCCACCCTAGCGCTGCTATCTCCAGCCCAGCCTGTTCTCCAAGCTCCATCGCGTCTTATCAGGCAACCTCCTGCCTGCCAACACTCCCAAAGCCCTAGGCTGAGTCCAGTTCCTCTCTATCTCCATCTCAACCTCCATCTCCATCTCTTTGAAATCAACTGTCCTGAACTGTCACTCATACCTACAGCTCAAACTCACACAGTGCTCCGTCCCCCGAATCAACCCCCCAAGTGATTAAACACAACCTTTAAAACCTTTAAATTCTCATGATGTGATTTGACAGCACAGGACAGAGTGATTTGCAGTATGAAATGGTTTCGTAAGCAAGAGAGGAAAAGTTTTGGAGCAGGACAGCGTGCCCGTGGCGTCGGCGCAGGCGGAGAGGAAACCTGGCTCCGGACCGCACTCTGTCTGCTCTTAGCACTTTGGTCTCTAGTTGAAGTAATGCACTCAACAAAAGAAGAGAGAGTTCGGGACCGTGAGGAGGAAGCCGTTATTCTGCATGGAGGAGCTGGAGGCGGGAAGCGACACTGACTCACTCGCAGTTTTGTTTTCTCCTTATAAACCTCCATGTTAACTGTTCACCCGCTTCTCTCATGCTCCTATCCATTTATTGTTCTCTGTTTGCATGATTTTTACTCATATTTTTAATTTTTTGGTAGTGTATGAAGGAGCAATTTAGATTTAAGAACTTAAATCTTTAAGATCTAAGTTTAGATTTAACTCTTCAGGTATGTTTGTAATAGAACACTAGCATACTTAGTTCACAGTGTGAAATATATACTTCATACTAGCATACTTGGTGCTTATTGCAGAGTATATACTTAACACTAGCATACTTAGCACATAATATATACTTTACACTAGCATACTTGGTGTATAGTGCAAAGGATAGTGCATAGTGTGGAGTATATACCAAAACATTTGACAGTCCAAATGAAATGAGTCAAAAAAGCCATCAAATTTCACTTTGTTTTCACTGGAAATGGAAGGTCAAGTTGAGAGTACAGCATCCCACAATACAGTTATGTCTCAACATATTTTCCGTTGTATATTGCACATTTTGGAAAAAGTATGTTAGTATGCTTTTTCACATATAGCCTTTGGCTGCATTTGGAATAGCATATTAGCATACAACTCAAAAGGCAGAAATAGTAATATGCTAGTTTGCTATTTTCCAAATTAAACCTTAGTCTTTTCTACAAACAGTAATTTTTGTAAAAAATATGCTATACACACTTTATATACTTCTCTACCCTGAAACTTAGTGCTCATTCAAAAAAATAAATGCAAAAAACAGCTTCAAAGAGCTTCAAAAATCCATCCGCAGCAGTGAGAATACTGCACTCTCTCTCTGTCTCTCAGTGCGCTCAAGGGAGAGGCAGGGTTTCAGCAGCGCCTGTCTGCCTCAGGGTCAGAGATTTTAAGGCGGAAAGCCTTTAATACCAATTAAATGTTGCTTCTTAAAGCTGTGATGCTCACATTTAACACCAAACAGGGAGGCTCGGAGCTGCCTCGTGCCTCAGCCATGTTACCCAACTCACGGAACGGCTTCTGTTGCCAGCGCTGCTGCTAATTCCTTTAAACTCCAGCCTGTGCGGCGCAGAGCCGGGCCAAAACAAGGGCAGAACTTTACTAGAGGTGGGGGGAGAAAAGAGAAGGCTAGATGGATGGAGAAATAGCAAAACGACTAAATGAGCAGAGAAGGAGGCTCTTGGTTTTCTCCTCCTCCTCCCTTTGCTCCTTCCGTCTCTCTGGCTACTGACAAGTTGGACAGGCCACACTCCTTAATTCCCTTTTCTTATTCCCTTAATCTGTCATCTTTATCAGGCAGGGGAAGTGGCGGGCGTCGCGGCAGTGCCTCAACCTCCAATCAATCTCCACATTACAGCTGACAGAATGGTGCTAATAACTTATTGATCCCCCTCGCTCCCCCACTGAGAGCCTTAGGGGAGAGACAGACAGAAAGAGAGAGAGAGACAGAAAATGAGGGAGGGAAACGAGCAGAGAAAAAAGAGAAAGATCAAAATCATGGGAAAAAGAATGAGAAAACAACAGAATGAGGCAAAAAACGCTGCAATTGAGGGAAAACAAAAGACGGGGAGACAAAAGGTGGTTGAGGAAAATGCAAGAAGATGCAAGAAAGGCAGGCGTTCATGAGAGAATCAACAGAGACAGAAAAAGGAGAAAAAACACGTATAATTTTGGTTGCGCCGTATGACAACCAATGTGTCAACGGTGGTGATTTTGCTATACTGTTTATATCATGATATCATGTTATATCTGTTTTTTGCACTGATGTCAGACGTTCATTTGTTATGAATAATCTTATCCTTTTTGGCTTGCATCCATCACATCTGTGAGATATTATAATATTATTATAATTTATAGTAACTGTTTTCTATTTTAATATATTTTAATATGTAATTTATTTCTACAGAGGCTGAATTTTCAGAATTTCAATGTTGAATCAGTGCTGAAAACAGTTGTGCTACTTAATATTTTTGTGGAAACTTAGTTTTTCAGGATTCTTTGATGAATAGAACATTTTAAATACAAACAGCATTTATTTAAAACATAAATCTTTGTAACATTATAAGTCCCTTTATTGTAATTTTCGATCAATTTAATGTGTTTGCTGCCTAAAAGTAATAATTTCTTAATTTAAATAGTAAAAAATATAAATATCTATAAAAAATATCTTGTTTACACCAATGTTTTTGAATTAATTAATTAATTAATTAATTACTATGAATTAATCTGAGTTTGAAGTTAATAAACTTTTGAAGCAACACTGAAATATTGAGCAACACAAAAATATTGAGCAGCTATAACTGTTTTTATCATTAATCATTTTCACCATTAATAAGAAATGTTTCTTGAGCACCAAATCTGCATATTAGAATGATGAAGGATCATGTGACACTGAAGATTAGGCCTTTCCAGTGCAAAGCAACCCCAGTGCGGCAGTCGGCTTCCTCTTCCTCCGCCTGTCTCGAGACTCCACACTGCAGTCCACCCTCCCTTGATACCATACGACGCTCTGCTCATTCATTTTGAAGCAACACTGAAATATTGAGCAACACAAAAATATTGAGCAGCTATAACTGTTTTTATCATTAATCATTTTCACCATTAATAAGAAATGTTTCTTGAGCACCAAATCTGCATATTAGAATGATGAAGGATCATGTGACACTGAAGATTGAGATCTTTTTATATATATTTATTTAATATATAATCGAATATTTTATTTTTATTTTCAGTTTTATCCAAAGTGATTTACAGTGCATTGGGCTATGGCCCACCCATAGATATAATGATGGTCGTGCACAGGACAAGTAGACTTGTAGGGGTGGGGAAACAAACATCACTGACAGGACACTTTAATTGCAGTATAAACACGTAAATGCTGCATCTTGAGAAGATTTAGATTATAACATACAAATTCAGGGAATCTACGCCTATTCGCTGGTCAAGATATACAGCAGCTTCGCGCAGACGCTCCTGTCTGCCTTTAGGAAACCATGAGAGCGGCAGGGAGGGAGGGAAAAAAAGCAAAAACACCTTATACGCCTATTAAGAGTCTCTGGTCTGACCGCAAAGCCACGTTTAGGAGTCTACACAGAGAGCCAGACGAGCTGCCGGCGCCCTGCCCTCCCCCCCATCCCTCCCTCGGAACAAAAAAAGCTGTTGGAGTCTCGCAGCTGAACATGGAAAAATGAACACTTGCATCTGCTTTGATTCAAGCTTATATAAGGTCAACCTTTAACGTACTGCTACATCCAACATGCTGTGTCTTGCAGCATCATGTGGCCAAATGTGAAATTTAATAAATGTGCATCTTTCTGATCATGCGAAAAACGCACTTCCAAATGGGCCTGTTCTATCCATTCAACTCCTAACCTGGCCCAGGGACGGTGGCTCTCTAATTTCACTGGCAGACAGAATTAGACATGCTGCGTGATCGGCTTGGACTTGTTTACAGACATGAGTCTAGCTGCACCCGTTAAACCTCTTTTAAACGCTCAAACTGACAGATTTTGGTCATCAGCCGCGCTGCAGGTGGCTTCCACTCTTATTCCTTTGTGCCTTCTCCAATTAAGATTACGATTAATTGAGCATCTTCCATTCAGGTAATGGCAAATTGTACTGGTCTTGTTTTTAAGCCAACCCTTAGATCTCCAGTCTAGTATAAACCTAGAGCCTGGTAAAGGTGATTTGATCCACATTTGGAGCCATACGATCAGAGAGATATAGAGGACTGGGACAGTCGCTTAAGACTTTGTTATGCTCAACCGATGCTAATGTAATAGGATTTAGACACATATATTCACATATGGCCATTTTACCAGAAACCCATAGGATCCTCCATAGTATGACTTGACTGGGCAGTATTTACTACAACCTAAAAAGCTCAAATTAATTTGAACTAAAAATAAATAACTATTTATTATTATTTAAAAATTACCATTTAATTATTTAATAAAAACTATTTAATATATTTTTAGTGCTAATTATAAAATTTCTAAATTAAAAAAAGTGAAATCTAAGGATGTCTAACTTTAAGCAATTAGTGATAGTGATAGTCATTTGCAGACTTGAAAAAAAGTATAATTACACAAAAATTAAATAACATTTAAAAAAAAATATATATATATATCATTAACATTAACATAAATCTTAAACCAACACATTAAACCACACGGGTCAAAATTACTCAACCTGTGGGTGACTATGTGGTTCAGACATGTTATGAAAAAGTATTATTTAAATAAAATAAAATTAATAACAATAAAAGTATAAACTATTAAAAATAAATGGCAAAAAATTGGTATTAAAATAAAAAACAGTAATAAATAAATACATATTTTTTTAAATATTTACATGCAACATAAATCTTCAAACAACATTAAAGCCTAGCTGTAAAACCAGACAGGTCAAAATTACTCAACCTGTGGGTGACCATGTGGTTCAGAGAACCAATAAGATTAACACACAGTATGTCCGGTAGTCCTTCTGTTTGGTCCGAGATTAATGACAAATAAAGCTATTTACTGAGAGTAGTTTTAACGGTGGTTTAAGTTGTGTGCTAAGAGAGGCGAAGACAAGAGCATTAAGTAATGGAATGAATATGGCCACAATGGAGCGAGTAATGAGCTTACAGCCCTCAATCATGCAAATTAAACCAAATTAAAATACTAGCACGCAGTCAGTGTAATTGTTCTACATCAATCAAAGGATAAACCCTGTAAAAACAGAGTATGATGGCAATAAAACAGAATATTATAGACAGAGAAAGCCACAGAAGCAATTACAACGATAATTCAGGACTATAGTTCAGATACTGCACATTTCACAGATTTGACAAGTGTGTATCATAATCATAAAAGCATTTTTGGCTACTTCACCCAGACCACTTCCTATGTGTTTTCTTTTGCTCTATACATATGTTTTCACTTTATATCCATAATCACATGGATAATAACATAGCAGAACATTCATGTGTGAATGTGTCTCAGGTGTGCTGTCTCTAGGTGTGTCCTACCTGAGTGTGCGGAGGCGAGGCTGAGGTCGGAGCAGGGCTGGCCCTCGGGCATGCCGTGCTGTCGGGTGTGGTGCAGGCTGGAGATGATCGCTGAGAGGTCACTGTCACGACTGGAAAAAGGAAAGCAGAAGAGGGAAGAAAGAAAAGGAGAGAGACAGAAAGCAAGAAGAAGGGAGAGAAAGAGAGAGAGGAAGGGTAAATATCTCTAGGGATTCTTAATCACAGATTCTTAACGCAAAGCAACACACTCACACATTTAGCATACCAGGATTTAAAAAAGAAAAAAAAGTTCAATACAGAAAAATGACCAATTCTGCCCAATTAAACTGAAATGATCAAACTTACCAATTATACATAAGGAGAACGATGCATAAAGTATACAAAAAGTAAACCCAACGTAATTCCACCACAAACAACCTCAACTGAATCAAACACGGCCGACCTGGTGCACTCCGGTTTGGTCCCTTGAAGCTGAAACGCTCTCTGCCTTTGGCTCTTTTGCCTCGCTTCTGCATTCATTGTCTTTTGGATTTTAAGCGTATAATGAGCGCTGACAGATTCCTGCGTCAAGCAGTTTTGAGTTTCATCCAGTCTCATCTTCAACCTTAAGATGTTCTAATCAACACATTCAACTCATAAGCAGTTTATGAGCTTAAAACCAGGTGATTATGGTTTTTATGATCGCTCTGCTGAAATCGTTCGGGTCTCTGGAGGCACACGAGGCGCGTGGGGGATGAGTGTAATCTCTAGAGATCTGCCATTTCATAAAGGAACCCGATAAGTGGTGAATAAAAGCCGCTGGTTTACCATTCAACATGAGCGTGCGGATTTAGAAATTAGAATGGATAATAAAATTTGTATGTAATTCCGGCGATATTTAAGGAAGCACTTATGCTCTGGTGTCATACGCAAGCTCGTAACTGCAACCAGAGAACCAATCCTGTCAGCTGTTTTGGACAGGTGAAGAAACCAATGAATATTTAGCTTAAGAAACCCCAAGGCCCTATTAATACATACTTAAAGTTATCTTACAGTAACTTCAACTTTTAGTTTCAACTTGATATAATGTTTCAAACTTTATCTATAAGAAATATTACATGATTTGATTCAAAGGTCACATTTGACATTGTTTGGAATGATTTTATTGTATACATTTTTGCCAGAGTAAAACTGACCCCACAAAGAATCAATATTATCTTGCTAATATTATATACTAATAATATCTGTTAAATGGGGTTTTAATTAGGTCAAAGGAACCTATTAAAACAAATTAAATGGAAAATATTAGGTTAAATATATTTTTATTTCATAAAATGTTACTATAATTTATAATTATGTTTACACATAAATCATTCACTCTTTAAATTGTTTTATTTTTATATTTATTTTTAATATTGTATTTTATTATCTTCTTTTAATAATGTTCACACATGATTCATATACACATGAAACATGAAGAAAGAGAGTTAAAACTCTTCGTAGACCAATAAACTGATCCCAGGCCAGGACCGATATTCACGCCGCACACTTGTCTTCCTCTTCCAGGTCGTCTCTTCAAGGCCAACTGAAGGGTTTACAGATTAGAACTGGACAAGGCCGTCCCCTCATCCTCCCTTCCTGCCTCCTTCCCCCTCTCATCCTCCCTCACTCATCCTTCATTAACCCTTGTAAGTCCTGCTTGGGCCATGTTGTCTCTATAGAGACTGATAGAAGAAGTGTGTCATGGAAGTATTTGAATGCAATCTGATTACAGCTCTGATCGCATTATAACGCATAATAATTTAAAATTCCCGATTAGCATTTAGCAAATATCAGATGCATATCTCGCAGCGCCTGGCGGTCTATGGGGCGCACTAATGTCAAGAGAGTTCTGAGGGACATTTTACGGGCTGTCACAGGACAGTCTCACGATCCGCTGTGTTTCTGTGGTGGGCCCATGGCCCTGCTGTTTGTGGCAGTCGAAATGCTAGTTTTACAGTCCATAGATTACAGGCTGGGCTTCAGTAATGTCAGCCTGCCACGCTTTCAGTTCAGCTACAAACAACACAGCACGTACAGGAATTTATTCTCCATGACCCAACTGGGCTGCAAATTCATTTGCCATTCCGAGAATCCAGAAGTCTGACAGAAATGCCATTGGTCGAGTGTACGACGCAAGATCAGATGCATGATACTTATAAATATTACAGCATTCAGTGAGCAAAAAAAATGCTGGACAAATTAGGATATTATCTTAAATGCAACTTAAGTTAATATTGTAATGGGTTAAATGATCATGAGCAATGTTAAATGCAAATTATTAGAAATTATGAAAAAAGTAATACATAAATTATATATAAAATTATATTTTACATGTTTAATTTAAAAATACTACTTTTATTTAAAAATAATACATTTAGATATAAATATTATAAATATATATAAACAAAAGACATTGTTACTAATATAGACAATGAATACACACAATGCAGCGAAAGCACAATCATTCACTACATTTACAAGAATAAAAATCTATGATCAGAAAACTCATATTTCATTGAGGCTGGAAAACTCCCAGATAAATACAAAGATAAATGAGACTGAAATAAATCTATAAAAGAAACATTAATTCCCTGCAAAATATACAAAGTGATTTGACAGAATATGCTACATTTATACAAGTTGCACCATACAAAAACACAAACAACCTAAACAGCTCAAGCTCTAGTAGAAAACTCTTTTTAAACAGCATTTAGATTTAAATATTATTCAGAATTTGACGTTTGTCTATTCTAATTTGGCAACAGCACTATAAAATATTAAAAACTTGCATGAAACTATGCTACTCCGCGCAGCGCAAAGGTCCATTTAACCTTTATCTAGGAAACAACTCTGCCATTCTCTATAGGTCATCCAAGTTCCCCCATCCATCCCCTTAACAGGGCATCAGTCCAAACAACAGCTCCATCTTCCAGCTCCCGCTCTGGCAGCTAAGGAAGGCTATTATCCTCGGACGGAGGCTCTGCAGTGAGCTCACTAAGCAAGGACATTGTTAGCAGGTTAATTAGCACACTTTTTCTGGGCTGTCCCGGTGAGGGCCGCTAATGAGGACTCCCACGACTGGCGGCCAAGGTCATAATCTGCGTCAGGGCTGGAGCTAAGACCCGGCCGCCCGAGTCAGCGAACCCACACAGGGGAGCACAGGGCGGACCTGAAAACTCTGCTTAGGACATGAGCTGCAGCTTATCGCGCAGTGAAGACGATCAGCATAATCTCCATCTAAACTGGTCAATACCTCTTACACCTCCCCGTCAACTGCACAGACACTTTGCCGCAGATATGACCCGCTGAAAGAGGACATGCACTGGGCATGACCAAAAAAACCCAAAAAACAACATGCAACAAATCGGGACCTGATGACTCTACAGTGACTAAAAATAGCAATATTTAATGCCATAAATAACATTTTTTAAAATAATTTTATACTAGGAAAAGTTGTATATTGTAATAATCTATAGTACATTTGACACTAACTATATATATATATATATATATATATATAACATCTTTGCATTTAGTTAATGAATGTTCTGACCTATTAGCAGCTATCATATTAAAAATGTGCAAGAAAAAAATTGTTAGGGCTGGTCGGTTTAATATACAGTCTAACCAAAGGAATGTGTCAACCAAAAACATGTTTTACTGTTTATTCTGCAGTATGCCTGTGACACAATTTAAAGTATGTTTTGATATAACAGCTACATTATGTAGTTTATGGTTGGCTCTTTTAATCATATTTTAAATAATAAATACTTTTATGTTCTAAAGAATTTCATTCACTAAATTTTCAAAACCAGGCATTACTATTCTAAATGTTTATTTTTATGAATTTCTAGCTAATGTAATAATTTTTAAAATAAAATATAAAAATAAATAGCATAATAGCATATTTGGAAGGTGCCGAAAAATGAATCAGAGACATTCAGTGCAGCTTCAGAGTCAGTGCTTTACAACGGAATGAAAATCTGTGACACCGCAACGAACAGCAAATCATCTTTCCGATGCCAGAAAGATAAGGGTTTTTGCATCAACTGTGTTGTTGCTGGTAGCAGACACATTTCCTCACCACAGCACTCACATGCAGAGCTGAAAGCACTTCCATCTGTTCTTGATGTACGTCTGATATAGGAGCACTAGGCCTAGGGTTTGTGGTTGAATGTGGAGAAAACCAGCTGCACACCTGCACAGAGCTCTGCTTGACTCTGATTCAAATGCTGCTAAAGGGATAAAGTCCTCCTATAGGTAGCTATGTAAGGGATTTAAAGGAATACAGGTGCATCTCAATAAATTAGAATGTCGTGGAAAAGTTCATTTATTTCAGTAATTCAACTCAACAAAAATGAAAATTATTCACCTATAATAACCGGGTATACAGACTACAGATGTTTATTAAATAGTAAGTCATATGGACTACTTTTATGAAAGTTTTATATCGCTTTTGCATTCCTTTTTCCAAGCTTGAAAACTCTAGTCCCCATTCATTCTTACTGCAATTGAAAATTAATAATAGTCATACAGGTTTGGAACATGATGGTGAGTAAATAATGACAATTTTTGAGTGAACGGTTCCTTTAAGAAAATGCTTACTTGTTTTGTACGTATTTGCACATATGGCTGGGTTTTCAAATATGACATCTAAATGAGAAGCATCCGCTAAATGGCAGGTATTTATGAACTGACTTGCGTTTAAGGCAGCTCAAAAGACAATTGGACAGACGTGGTGTTCCTCATGGCAGTGGGAACGTCAGGGAGTGCAAGTGCCCCTGCAGTGACACGGGAGACGAGAGCTGGCGCCAGATATAGAGGTCACACTTAGAGCTGGCAGACTGGGCATCCTAACGCCAGGGCTTACACCATTACTGAACACAGCGCTGATAGTCTCACCCTGACACACACACACAAAGCGGTGCCAAGCAGAAAGTGGGAAGGCATGTGGAGAGGATGCCTCCTTTTTACAGAAAGTGACAGACGTTTTGCACTATGAACTGGCACTGGAAAACAAGACCAAAATTGAGAACAAAACTGGGTACAAAAATGGTACAAAACTGAGAATTTCACCATTACTTTTATT